TTTGTAGGGTATGGTTGTGTGTATGTTCACTCAAGTTTAATATCGTCATGAATCAGTTTTAGATGTAAATTATCGTTTTACAACAAAGAAGGCCACTAGCATAATGGGCAGGCTAATTTCTTATTCTTACTCTAACTGATACAGGTTTTGTAGGTGTTCGACTGAGGGTGGCGGCGCTACTTCACGCATCAGCACTTCTACATGTTCAGTATCATTAGTGAGTTAAGAACTGTGGTTCACAACTGGTATTAAAAGAAAACTTACTGGAGGGGAGTGCCTGCCATTAAGTCTCCACACTGTCGCGTGATCTTCACATTGTTTAGGATGAGGAACAGAATTCTTTCCAGGGAGGGAACACTGACCACCTCAAATCTACGTTTTCATGGGGGATTGACTGGATTACTTCGTCTTACATCTCGTACGGCGTCTTCCTAGTTTCTGTATCGACTGAAGAAGCTACTGGGTAGGCGTAGGACGTTCGGATTAAAATAGGCCTAACAGTTGGACTGGTGGCTCTTACCAATTCACCATATTGTTCACTACCACCACCACTTACACTACCAACTATATCAAAGTTTTTTTTTTTTTTCCACACACACTCCACCTCACTACCACATCCTCTACTCTACCACTCTACCTCACCACTACCACACCACGTCCACCACCACTACACCTCCACTACCATTACCTCCCCCACCAACGTCACCCACTACCACCACCACTACCACATCAACACCACCACCAACCACTTCCACACACGACCACTACCACACCAACACTACCACCACACTTCCACTACCACCACCACATCACTCCACTACCACACCACTACCACACTACCACAAAAAAAAAAAAACATAAAATAAAAAAAAAAAAAAAAACCCAAAAATAACCCCCCCAAAAAAACAAAAAAACCCCCCCAATAAAAAAAAAACCCCCCCCAAAAAAATAAAAAAAAACCCCCCCCCCAAAAAAAAAATAAAAAACATATAAAAAAAAAAATATAAAAAAAACTAATTAAAATAAAAAAAAAAAAAAAAAAAACCCCAAATAAAAAAAATATAAAAAAATAAATATAAAAAAAAATAAAAACTAGTGTAATAAAAACCCCTAAACCAACCCAAAAAAATATAAAAACTTAAAAAAAACCTATAAAACCCCTACCCCCAAAAAAAACCCCCCCAAACCCCCCCAAAATCCCCCCCCAAAAAAAAACCAAAAACACCCCCCCAAACCCACTACCCAATATCCCCCAAACCCCAACAAACCCCCACCCAAACAAATCAACCCACTACCAACCACTTCCCCACCCCTACTACCACCCCCACCACTCCACCCCCAAAACCCCCCACTACCACCAACCAACCCATATACCCCACCCTAACCCAACCCCCACAAATACCACTTTCCCACTACTCCACCCCCAAATACACCACCACCACTTAAAATACCAACCCCCCCCCCCCCCCCCCCCACCACCACCAACCAACACTATACCCACCACCACCACACCACCACACTACCACCACACCACACTACCACCCCAAAACCCCTACCACCACCACCCTACCACCACCACCACCACTACTACCACCCCCCCACCCTACCACACACCCCCACCACCCTACCACCACCCCACCCCACCACTACCACCACCACAACTACCACCCCTCCCCCCACACCACTCCACCACCCCCACCACCACTACCCCAACCCCCCTCTACCCCACCCCCCACCACTACCCCCCTACCACCCCCATACCACCACTACCACCCACCACCACTCCACACACTACCCCCCACCACCACCACTACACCCCCACCACCTACCACCAACCCACCACACCCCCACCACCACCACCCTACCACCACCCACCACCACCCTCCATACACCACCACCACCACACCCCCCCAAAACCCCCACCACTACTACCCCCACCATACCACCACCCCCACCACCCCCATACCCCACCACCACCCCCACCCTCCACCACTAACCCACCCCCAACCCAGATCACCACACAGTTTCAAGCGTCTAGCAACTTAACCAGGTTCACCCCCCTTTGAACAAGCAGTAAACAAACGTTCAACAGAAAATTTTAAAATTGCGATGTTCAGGGGAACTAGATATTTTTAGCGGGGGGGGGGGGGGGGGTTTTTTTTTTTTTTTTTTTTTTTTTTTTTTTTTTTCCCCCTGTCTCAGACACTTCCCTCCTCAACCTCCCATCTTCTCTCCCCCACTGTCTCAGACACTTCCCTCCCTCACACCCCATATCTCTCTCTCCCTCACTGTTCCCGGGCATTCCCTCCCTAAACCTCCCATCTCTCTCTCCCCCACTGTCTCGACACTTCCTCCCTCACACCTCACTTCTCTCTTCCCTCACTGTTTAGACCTTCCCCCCCTCAACCTCACCCTCTTCTTCCCTCATGTTCAACATTCCCTCCCCACACCCCACTATTCTCTCTCCCCCCCGTTGACCTTCCCCCCTCACACTTTACCCTCTCTCCCCTCC